AAAGTTGTCAAAATTGTTCCGAATTCATCCAAATAACCGGTCTCGGAAGGGGGCATTCGATGAGACGATGAGATAGGCAGAACAGCAGCAACCCGTCGTCAGAGTTGCTCAACAGACTCAGACTCTGGCGTCTGATTGTCTCTCAAGGCAGCGTTCTGGGCGATAGGCACTGGACGTCGTGGTGGACCACTCAAGTGGAGCGTGGAACACATTCTTCGGCGGCGAAGCAGACGAAGCCCGAAGACAAACCACCATGAGGCTAAACACTTCTCGCTGAACCGTAGAGACTATCCGACCGCGGCAACTCAAGGCAAACGCGCCTTCATCCGGCACCGTCAGGCAGAAGATACAAAAGCCTCTGTTGCTCAAATTGAGGCTGGTTAGGCACATCATAATCAGCAACTTCATTTATATGAGCAGCAGGAGAGCAGGTCCCAAAAGGAGGGCACAGAAACCAAATGGAAAAGACATCGGAATGAGCAGCAGCAGTCAACAAAGAACTTATCGCAAATAATTTCAAATAACCTCAAATAACCTCAACTATATTCAGTTCATATCAACTCATAAAGTCTGATCTTTTTAGATCTCATCAAACTTCTATTAACAAATCTAAATTTATGCGATGAAATCTTATTGTAACACAAATAATATAAACTCGCGAGATATGATAGCGTATCAAAATAAGAAAATTCATTATAGTTAAAATAAGCTATTTCATAAAGGCGGATATATTCAAATTATCAAATGTCGATGTAACTTATATAATCACATGTAATATCAACTAAAATCATCTCCTTAATAATAAATTAATAAGATGACATATAATTTCGTCTAAAATAAGGGCAGTGCAGATCGTCATAAAATAACTAAGCGAAAATCTAATTTAATCAGGGCTAAAGAATATGCCAGAAAATAGCATGTGTTTTAAGATTATCTGAAATCGCTTGATATATAAAGAGCCCATTTCAACTAGTCACAAGTATTATCATCTTAAGTCATCTCGGTTAAACACTAATGAACTACGAAGATCTAAAATAGGCCTATATCATAATAGCTCCTAAAATTTCAGCGAAGGCCATTTCATGTTAATTAATTAGAAATTATGAAAAGAAATGAAATAACAAAAGATGGCATTTTAACTTGTAGGAAATCAACAAAGGCAACTAAAATTGCATCATATTTCATGTAAGAAGAGTAAAAATTCAGCTCAAAAATGAAAAACCTGATTAAAAATGCATTGTGGGCGAAATCAATAAAATCAAATGATATAAAAATAAATTAACAAAAAATAATATATATGAATTTGAGTCATTTAATAACAGAATAAATTATAACAAATCAAGAGATGAAATAACAATTAATTATATGTATACATATTTATTCAAAATTCATTTCATATCCATTCATCTAATCTCATCTGATTTCGTCTCATTTCATCTCATTTCATCTCATACCATCTCAACTTATCTCATCTTATCTCATCTCATCTAATCTCAGCTCATTTCATCTCGTCTCATTTCATCTCATCTCATCTCATTTCATTTCATCTCATCTCATCTCATCTCATCACGTCTCATCTCATCTCATCTCATCTCATCTCATCTAATCTCAGC